GTTAGTGTCTCATAATATACTTTGTTAGCGTTTGTGAACAAAAGTATTCCAAGTAGGAAAAATTCAACACTTAACACTTTTGATCTAGAGAAAAATAGTTTTGTGCAACTCTCCCAATTACAGATGCTTACAGCAACAATAGCAGCAGCTGACCTGCACTGAGCGTTGTAGGTCTAGGTCACAGGCACAAAACTGACTGCTTCATGTTGATCTCTTTTAACTTTTACAACAACCCTGTGAAGTAAAGAGTTTAAACTCCATTTTACAGATGTAAAAATTGAGGTTAAGAGTCCAACTACCCACCCATAGGGAAAATCTAATAAAGAGAATTGTTTACTTATGGTAATACCAAAAGAAAGTTAAATTCTTTCTACTCAATATAGTTGAAAAGAACAGAAGATACGTTAAAACACTGAAATAAAGTAATTTAGTTTTCTCCTCACACTCAATGCCCCAATCACAGTTAAACATATGAACTAGGTAGTCTCCTCCAGATAGATTCCTGATTTAAAATGGTCATGCTCTCCGTTTCTCTCTTTCTGTCATTACAGAAAGTCCTGAGAGCCCAAGGGCAAGGGTATTATGTGGCATGAAACACACCCCAAAATAGAAAATTTGGTGTTTCTCAAGGTATAGGATCTTCCTGGGTATTTTGACTCCATTCATGTTAGTTTTTGGCCTGAGGAATGGAAAGAAGAGAAAAGTAGGGAAGACAGTGTTAAAGAAAGGAGAAGAGAGACAGCTAAAGGCAGTACCTGCAGCTTAGAACAAAATTACCCCAAAATGTCACCACAAGTCCATACAGCTGGCAAAACTGACAAACACAACACATTGTTGGGAGTGTGTGTGTGTGTGTGTGTGTGTGTGTGTGTGTGTAAAATATAGCATATATACTTTTAAAGATCAAATGACCCCCTCCAAACATTTCTTGCATCGTGTGGTGGATCTAGTTAGTACAGGAGAGCCTCAGTTAGATGAGAAGGGGTTAGCCAGGGACAACTGGCTTTTGCAGGATGTCAGGACAGTGACTGGCAGAGACAAATGCATGGCAGATGCAGCAGCGAGGGGGTGGGTGTATAGAACTGAAGGTGAAATAAGCTAGTTGTGTTCAGAGACAAAAGGCGGACTGGCTTGGTGGAGAGAAACAGGCTGCTCAGTGAAACAGCTCTCAAGTCAGAACTGGGTTTGAATGCTCTCTCCTTCTAGCACTGACTAGCTGTGTAATTTTTGAACAAGTGACTGAGACCTTCTGAGCCTCGGTTTCCCTATCTGTAAAGTAAAGACAACACCTATTTCCTGGGATGGTTGACAGTATGAAATACATAGTAGGTACTTAACAACTACCCCTTCCTCTTGTCATTCTTCTTGGCTGGTAAAGAGGAATTTTGTTATGCCAGAAAAGCAAATACCATGCACTGTACCTGAGTGTCCTCCCCACATTGTCTTCTTTGCTCTACAAAACCACCTCAGGAGAGAATTTATTTATCCCCATTTTGCACAGGAGGCAACAGACATTCAGGATGATCCTGTAACTTGCTCTAGGTCACAGAGCTGGTTTGTAGTGGAGAAGGAAGAATCAGAATGAGGTCTGTCGGGAGACAAGCATCATGAATGTTCCACCATCTCTGGCAGCTTCCCAGACAACAAGGGATGAGACTGGAGAGGTATCAGTGGGAAATCCTCCCAAGACAGGCTGAGAGTTAGCAATCAGCAACCAGTACTAGATCCATGTTCTCATCTGCTTGATACATTTTCTGGAATTCTTCTGGGTAAAGCTGATGCTTTGTTACTTTCAACTGGACCCACTCTTCACTTTGGGTTATTCATTTGAGAAATGGATTGTGTTCAAGAATTTCACATCCTTTGCCCCAGTTTTCTCACCTATACAATGGAGAGTTCCGAATACACGATCTCTGTAGTCATTCCTAGCTCTACACTGTGTGTGGGTAGAAGTTACAGGATTTAGAACAGGGACGTTACACCACCATCCTCACAGCCAGCGCCCAACTGTGAAGCCTCTTACTAAAGAAACTGTCATCCAAGAGTTGTTTAATCAGAAAATCCTAAAACAGTATATAAGTGCTCTTAAACTCTTTATTTTAATTCAAAACACAAAAATGTACATTCATTCAATTCATTCAATTTGATGTGGGAGCAATGCCTTTCTCCGAGACCAGATCAGGTGGAGAGAGAGCAGCAATGAATTATGCAGACTACTAACTACATACACAATGTATCATCCACCATTTCCAGTTTAAGGTTCCTTAAAATGGAACTAGAACTTAAAATGGTAGCAAATAAATCCGAATGCAGAATCTCTCTGGATTTCTGTTCTTCCTCAATCTTTTATAGTTGTTTCTCTTACACTTAATTTGACAGCAAATTTTTAGTGACTCACCTCTATGGAGTCTTTTTAAAGTATTCACCATAGTTTCCCTAGAAACAAGAACGTTATTTCTTTTCACATTCACATTTCAGCAGCTTAATTAAACTATAAGTCAGATTTTGTCATTCCTCTGCTGTAGCTCCTCCAATACACCTCACCTTACCTTACCGAAGAACTAACGTCCATACAAGGCCCCCGCCCACTTCTCTGACCTCGCCCCCTGCCATCCTGCCCCCAGATCACGCTCTCCAGCCATTCCAACCTCCATGCACTTCTCCAAATGACCAAGCTAGCTCCTGCTTCAGATTTACCCTTGCTATTCTCCTTCTCTGGAATTCTCCAGAGAGACTAGCTCTTAAAATGGCCACTTTCAGGCCTTTCTTCAAATGGCATTCTTCTCAGTGAGGCGGTCCCGGTCACCCTGTGTCCAGTAGCCACCCTTGTCAGTGTTATCTCCTCTTTCCCCTCTTGTTTTTCTCCATAGCACTTACCTGACATTCTATATATTTTACTCGTTAGAATTCAAGCTTCATGAGGGCAAAGATTTTATCTGTTTGTTTACTGATGCATTCCCAGTGCCTAGAATAGTAGGTCCACAGCTGTCACTCAATAAATATTTGTTTAATAATAATCTTTATTACTGGGGCGCCTGGGTGGCTCAGTCGGTTAAGCATCTGACTTTGACTCAAGTCATGATCTCATGGTTTGTGAATTCGAGCCTCGCCTCGGGCTCTGTGCTGACAACTCAGAGCCTGGAACCTCCTTCAGATTCTGTCTCCCTCTCTCTCTCTGCCCCTCCTCCCCTTCTCAAAAATAAACAAATATTAAAATTTTTCAAAAATAATAATAATAATCTTTATTATTGTAACAAGTATGCTGTCTTTCTAGCTGAATCGCATAATTACAATAAGACATCAGGCTTGAGGGGGTTTAGGAACACATGTACCAGAGTCTTGGTAAGTAAAGAAGCCAACTGGTGGGGATCAGGAGTGTGCTGGTGCAACACAATGCAGCATACTAGCTCTGAGCAGCCATAAACCCTGGAAGGAGCCAGGACATGGAACCAAGAAGAGCAAGATCACCCGTTAAGGGTAAAGTTAACTGCTTTAACTTGAATGGCACTGCCCTCTCCAAGTACATGGTGCTTTCATATTTGAATGCACGATAACACAGAGGAGTATCAAAAATACAAGATAGGCTTTGGATACAAAGGAACAACAGCAAGAAGACATGTTGTCTTCCTCTGGTCAATCCCTTAATGGTCAATTCACTTTTAGCAAATCTCTTAATCTCTGTCTCATCCTTGGCTCTTCATTAAAGAGGAGGCGAGTATAAAATAATACATGATCTACTTATTTCACTAGTCTATTGTATTGGATAGATCAGTAGCTATGAAAATGTATTTTTAAATTATATATATCTTGAATATATACATAAATTATATGCAATCATATTGCATACAACAAACAATTTTCTTGGTATTGATGTGGATAACTGACTTGTCTATAATATCTACTCGGTTCCCCAAAACCGGTGATATATTTCATAGCACTTTGATTTTAAAATGATTCTTAAAATGTATTAAAGAAGAAACACAAGGGAAAGTAGGCTGTGAAAGAATGAGAAAGAGAGGGAAAATGCCTTTCTCCTGATTCTTTAATAGAAAAATACGAGGGGAGAAACATAAATCTCCAGAGCAATAACTATATTACATAAAGTTCAGAATCAAGAATATTACTGTGAACATCTATAATTATCTAGACTGTTGGATATTTCAGATATTCCTCATCTATCCCAACACCACGAGGATAATCCAAGATGACTTATTAATATCACACATGTCAACAGCAGGTTGTAAAGTAAATGAGCAAACCCTCTCCAACCATTTCAGTTCTGTTGTTATTATAGCATTTATTAAACCAAAAATAAAAAAAGTGGTGAAGAATGACTTGTCACGCCATTTATTAGAGTTGATGGAGTGTAGACAGTCTTTTCAATAAGGCTTTCACACACTGTTATGCACCATAGTACATTATTAATGAAAAGAAATGCATGAGACTTGCATCAGCTTTTCCCCCAAGTCATCATGACATTAAATTCAAAATCAACTTTACCCTACATGGCAAAAGTTCAGAGATAAAATGTTAATCTGCTTGCTATTAACCAAAACTTAAAGTTATAATTCAAAGCAACAGTCAGGAATCTTCCATATTGTACTCAGTTTAATAACTGTACTATTTTTTTGGAGGGAGATTCAAAGGAAGAAGCAAATGCAATGGGAAGATAAACAAATTGTGCCCTAGTTCATATCTGACAAGAGAATGGGATCTAATTTTCTTTCTGATTGAAAGAACACAAAGGACAGCTATAGAATGCAAATTGTGTTGGGTGTTTGAACTTCTTTCCCAATACCTGAGTATTCGAATGGAACTAATTCACTCTGGAAAAGGTATTAAGTAATTGAGCATGATTGTGCCAAGATGAGGGATAATCCTCAACTGTGAAGGAAAATAAACATATTTCACAACGATAGGGTCACCTCACTCACTCAGCAACCCCAATCAAGCATTTTACATTCGAAAGAAATAAACCAAATATATGAAGAATGACCTACCGCCAACAAGGATCCCTGATAGACACAAGCACCTGTAGGGAAAAACAAAACAAGAATTAAATGGAATGCAAAAGAGACCAACAGGCACTGCCCCAGCAGACGTAGGCTAAAACGGCATCTACATGCATCACAGTCAGCAAATTGTGCTTTTTCCAAAATCTTAAAAGCTTGAGCATTCTACCCCTGGGGAAATAAACCTATACAACACAACAACACTTCTTGGACATGCATGAGGAAAAGCATCATTAAAACTTATTATTTGAATTTTAAAATAAATGTATTTATAATGGCATGGCATGTATACAGTGTATATTTTTCTATGTGATAAATCAGCAAGGCCTCCATAATCTAGTCCCAATTTACTTATCCAGGCTTCTCTGCCCCTCTTTGCTTACATAAATTCTCCAGTCTGATCCAAAAGGCCAACTTAGGATCTAGTGATAACACTTCCATATCTCAATGCCTTTGTGCATTTTTGTTTCCTGCAGGAGATGTGCTGGATCTATTCAGGTTCCTTAAATTTGATCCCATCTCCTTCGTAAAGTTTTCAAGCCCACAGGACTATTATACTCATCTCCCTTTGGCACATTTTAGCACTCAGTGCCTACATCATCCATTTGTGAATTCATTCTTGTGTACTTCCTTATAGTACCCTTGCTAAGGATGTAGAACTGTTGCATCTACGCCACTACAGTGTCTAGATCCTCTTGGGACAGGGATGGCTTCTACTTCTTTGTCTTCCCTAACTCTTCACATAATAGGCACCCAGTTAGGAATCTGGTTGATTATGTTTCTTGCCTTTCACACAGTAGGTTCCTCTTTAGGGATATTACATTTTATAAGAGAGCAGTGGAGATTGTAGTTATTTGCAAAGAACTCTTCTATTGAGCTCTTGAATGCCAACACTCTTTTCACCCACTTTTCTCTCAATTTTCCTTTCTAATAGGCTGGTTATAAACTGATACATCTTTCTATTTTCCATTCATTAGGCACCAAATAAAAAACAACAGATGACTTGCTTCTAAATGGAAAAGAAGGTTAAATGTGAATGGGACAGCCTATATTTTCTGAATAACTAGACTATCATAAAATAAATCTTTCCAAGTGTTATATTTAAAAACAGTATACAATTGCAATCCTAATTTAAAAAAACAAACACATTTTCAACCAAATCTTTGACCAGCACAACAGGTGTTTTTTTAACCTAGAAACATGTGGGTATTGTGCTAACAGCTACTCTCTCAGAAACCAAAGCTACAAAACAGATTGGAATAACATGCACATACCAAAGCAGAAGCACAGCTTGACAATGGGCCGCACTTGGGGTCCAAAGAGGGAAGGACATGTTTTACCTACAGTGCTTGGCCTCCAACAGATCATTCGTGAAATCTCAAAAATATTAACTACTCAGGAAAGGACCAGTCTGCCTTATGCACCAATAATGGAATTAAGAACAATCTTCAAAGAAATAAGATGGCTATTTACACTTGGGGTCTGAATCAAAGATCTTTATGGGCAAATGTATTGGGATGACTTTTGTGCCCTTGACATTCAAACAAGAATAACTTGAGACAAAACCTTGGGAGAAAGTTCTTAACTCACTTATTTTTAAGAAAGACTTAGTGGAAGGAAGGAAGGAAGGAAGGAAGGAAGGAAGGAAGGAAGGAAGGAAGGAAGGAAGGAAGGAAGGGAGGAAGGAAGGAAGGAAGGAAAAGAGAGAAAGAGAGAAAGAAAGGAGTATTTCAGTCTGTGGTACATCATGAGAGATATATGTATATATAAATATATATATATATAATCATATATGTATGTATCTACATTAAACAATCCTATAAAGCTCAAATAAATATATATCAACATAATTCAATTTCTAAATTACTTAAGTGGATATATTCCATTACTTCTGATGTTTAAAAAATAAACACAAAGATCAGGGGCACATGGGTGGCTTAGTTCGTTAAGGGTCTGACTTTGGCTCAGGTCACAATCTCATGGTTCATGAGTTCAAGCCCTACATTGGGCTCTCTGCTGTCAGCGCAGATCCTTACTTAGGATCCTCTGTCCTCCTCTCTGCCTCTCTCTCTCTCTCTAAACTAAAACATTAAAAAAAAATTTAACACAAAGATCATCACTTTGGTACAATTTAACAACACTTTACTCTTAGAATAAACAAACAAAATTTAACCTTTAGAATAAGACTATCTTCAAATAATTTTACTGACCTCCTACATAGCATTACCTTCCAAAAGCCAATTATCTTTTCAAAGCTCCAAAAGGAATCGAGTATCTTAAGAAATATCCAACTACCCATATCAAAACCCATTTCTGGAAAGTCAGATAGATGTTACTAACCCAATGTAACATTAAAAAATAAAGCAGCATTGAGTGTGGCATCACATACACACTTGGCTAAGCCAAACATCTGCTAGCGACTCCAGTCAAAACGGTCTGTAACTGCTGATAAATTCCATCATTAGGAAAAGGAAATAACTCAATTTGGGTTGCTCCATGATGTACAACTCCAAAAGAAATAAGCTTTGCCCTCAGAGGACTTTCCTAAAACGGAACAGTTCTACCCAGAAGGCAGATGCACAAATGAGTCTACATTAACACGGCTTCCAAAGCCTCATTTCTACTCTCTTGAGAAAATAAAGCATTCCAGTGTGATGCCCAGTCCTATCAAACATTTATCACCACCCAATGCCAGATGCGGTCTTCCACACCAAGCATATTTCTCCCACACTAGCACACTCCTCACACCCATCAACTGATAAAGTTGGGAGGTTTGCTGGCAGGAGGTGCTGGGTACAGCTTCTGGTTTTGCACTAGAGCAGAAGCCTTTCCACTAACTGATCAACTCGTATAACACAGAAAACAAAGTGACTCTCCACTCATCACTTTTTTTCTGAAGGAGTACAGCTCTGTCTGACATTTAGATTTACGGCTTTATTTGAGCTTTAAAGGAAACTCCAGCTTAAGGTGAATTCTGACAGATGGTGAGGATCTAGAAAAAGAAACAGGCCTTCTTCAAGAGAAAACAAGAAACATAAGAGACAACAGAAGCTGGAATTCTCTGACCAACAACTTCACCAGTTTTAGGGCATAGATACAACTGAGATGCTGGGTAATTTAAATTCCAAGTCCTTGTGAGGAAGTACACAGAGTTTTGCAGGGTGAAGTGATCACACATAGTGCCAAGAAGGAAGCCGAGATCCTGAGACATTCCTCCATGCGGCTGACTCTGGTCTTGCAGGCCACACAGGCAAAATGTTACTTCATAGTCATTTAAATAAGTAAATATCTATGTTTAAGCCCTTGTGCACATTTTGAGCTATGTGTATAAAATCTAAAGTTTTCAGAGAAAATCTGAGATATAAGTTGCACCAGGACTCTCATCAAGAAACAACTCACTCCAGAAACTGTACCTGGTAAACTGAGTAAACTTGAGAAGTGAAATCCAAAAGCCATAAAATATCAGGCACATTAATTCAAAGTCAGAGTGGTATATATGGCCATAAGACATGAAAAGATTTGGAGAGCACAGTATCACAAAAATATGACTCATTAGGAACAAGCAGCCACAAGTTAACATTTAAATGTTCAAGCTTTATGTTGTGTTGCAATTCAGCATATGGCTTGTACACTGTGGAATAGTTAAAATAGAACCATTTTCTGGACTGACAGGACAGCTCATGTCCTGATTATTGTAAACCAGGATTCAGATCAATTAATAGTGTAGTTAAAATGAAAATGGGCCAACTGTTTTTGAACTATTGTAAGACTTGGCACACGACTCCAACTCTGCCATGTGGTATTCTCCTCCCTTCTCCTGAGCCATGTGGTGGAGGGTATTTATGACTACTTGTGTCTGAATAAAATTGAGTGATATTGCCACTTAAGTCCAAAACAGTGACTACAGACAGCTGTGGCCTCACCAAACAATGTATATACAGAATCCAATCTCTAGAGGAGAAGAGAAATGTAGTATGATGAAAATAAGAGCCTATGGCAATACGCTCTTTATTTTCACTAGCAGGTAGTTACAAAAGCCAAAAGATGCAAAAGTGCAATTATTCAATATTGGGAAACCCACCAAGGACCAATGTTCCCCTACTTCTGCTTTCCTAGTATTAACAATTTCTGGGTATGCAAACTTCCTCAGGGTAGGGGAATATGATTCCCCCTACCAGAAGTAACTGCACACATGAGCTCTCAATAAAGATTTGAGGAATGGAAGAATGAAGAGATAGGCTATCTCTCCCAGTCAATGTCTTCTCTTTCTTCACACTGAGTGTTAAGCATTAAATCTTACACAGAAGGAGCTCTCCAGCCAAGAGTGGAACCAAATATGCTGATCCATAAATAAAACACACTGTCTATCAAATTATCTCTTCCTATGTATTCTATTAATAGCATTTACAGGAAGAACCTGGAAGATCGTGGAATTGACTAAAAGCCTCATGGGGAGGATGGGACGCAGATTAGATAGAACTCAATTCTCTCAACCTCCAATTCAATAATCTTCTCCTATCTCCAAGCCACCATGTTCTACCTAGCGTTACTTTGCGGGACTTCCACAGATCAACACAACTCAAAATGTACTTCTCCAAAACATGTCATGGCAAAGCTTGTCTGATTCAGAAAGCCGCCACGTTCACTAGTTTCTCTGTGACTTCTTGATTTAATTAAGTTCTCGAATCATAGTGATTTGTCAGCTTGACAACATAAAACAGCATAAAGTAACACTGCCAATGATTTGCTTGTAAAAATTCATTTTTCTTTTAATAACTAAACAAAATTCAGAACCAGAAAGTTGCAAGTGACCACAAAGGAGGCAGCAAAGGAGGCAGGAAAATATTTTTTCCTTTGTTGGATGATTAGCAAAAGCATTTGACAGCTATCACCTAGCCAGCTGACTTCTGCATTTGGCAAATGACAGAGCCCCAGCCCAAAGAAGTTAGGTGGTTCATTCAAGGTCATACAGCCACTTATCATAGAGGCCAGTCTAAGCTTAATTCAAAAGACTGTGATTAGGCAATACTCATTCATCTAAGCAATATTTTTTTAGCACCTAGTGTATACTAGAAACTGAGGCAGAGCTGTAAGACTAATTAGGAACCATCCTATATCCTCAGTGAGCACACAGCTACGTGAAGACCAAAACCTCACCTTCATCAACTATAATTGTAGAATTTGTACAATCCTTCTACAATGCTTCTAGTGAAGGATATATGAGATGCCCTCTGAGCTCTAAGAAGAAAACACAAATTCTGCCATAGACTGGTCAGCAAAGTATCAAACTGTATGTTACACCATAAGAAGCACACATGTGACTACTTCTTTTCCATTTTTAAAGATCATTGGGGCACCTGGGTGGGTCAGTTGGTTAAGCTTCCAATTTAGGCTCAGGTCATGATCTCCTGGTTCATGGGTTCATGCTGACAACTCAGAGTCTGGAACCTGCTTCCGATTCTGTGTCTCCCTGTCTCTCTGCCTCTCTCTCTCTCTCTCTTTGTCTCTCTCGTTCTCACTCTGCCTCAAAAATAAGTAAACGTTAAAATAAATTTTTTAAAAGTCATTGTCAAGGCTAATAATAAAAACTTGAAGAAATCTGTAAGATTCTTAAGTTTTCCATCCTAAATTTACTTCAACGCTCTGATTTTTAAGAGAAAAAGAAAATCCTGACAAAAGCGAATCAAAAGTCTCATTAAATGGCAGCTGATTTTTTTGGCTGTGTGCCTGATATCACTTAATTAAATTAATTAAATGAGATAATGTATGCAAAGTGTTTAGCATAGTGGAAGCCAAGTAAAGTGCTCAATAAATGTCCACATTCATTCATTCATTTATTCATTATTAGATAAGCACCATTACGACTTGGATGGAAACTCTCAGACATCTATCAGTCCAATTTGTGACCTGATTCTAGAATGCCCTGAAGGCGGGGTGAAACAGTAAGAAGCGAAGTTTCCAAATAATCTTTGGAGGAATAGCGCCCCTGGCGCCATGCCCTCTTCCTCCCGGATAAGACGACTTTGGACATTCTTAAACTTTGCCCATTGTACCAACCAGTCTTCCAAAGAGCGAACCCTGCAGGCTCTTAATCATAATGGCTTTTGTAATTTCTAGAGATTTGGTTCTGAAAAACTGCATCATTCCAACCGCCCCCTGGTGAGCTATCAGGGAGAGATAGCACGTTTTCCGCGTTGCTGGGATAGGATTCTAAATAAGACACTGCCACCACCAAGTGAAAACATGATTTTTCTAAGTCTCAAATTCTGATATGGGTGGCCTGGATTAACTCTCCCATCTTCTTTATTATTATAATTAAGCCCTATAACTTTTTTTTAAGTATGCACACATACAGTAAAGACATTACTACAGGTAATGCCACTGAAAGCGTGTCCACTCAGTCCCCAGACGTGCTTTTCCGGGAGAAAGTACTTATACGCTTCCCGGGAGGGTGCGGGCAGGCGTCACCTCCACCCACGGTAAAGTCCCCAGTACCGTGCGTGGACTTCCAAGGCCACGCCACTTTCTCCGGGGAAACTGCAAGGAAAAGGCAGCTGCTCCGATGGCCGGAGGTCCAAGGCAGGCTTTGTCCTCGGCCTTGGCTTCCCGCCGCCCCCAGCCCCGCGCCCGGGCTCCGCACCCCGAAGCGGCCCCAACCCGGCAGCAGGCTAAGGCCCCGCCCCGCGCCCGCCGTCGCCGCCGCCGCCGCTCTGATTTGCGGCGGAGCAGGTGAACTCTTCTTCCCGCAGCTGGATGAATAATGAATGGAGCCGGGAGGGGAAGCCGAGAGCCGGGCGCGGCGGATTAAGCCGTCGCCCTCCGAGTCTGCCGGCACCCTTCCCCCTCTCAAGAGCACTAACTAGACGACTTTCCCGTCTCCTCGGAGCAGGTGGGAACTCACAGCGCCTCGCGTCTCCAGGCCCGCCATCCCATGACCCCCGAACTCTTAAAATACTTATTGATTCATTTATTTGCCTGAGCCCAGACTGCGTTTGCTATCATGGCGACAATTCCCACTGTGTCCTTTCCCTCCCCCAGCTCGGGGATTTACACACAGGTTGGAGCCCCGGAGGAAAACCAGGAATGAAGCTAAACTCTTATTATTCACTTTTTCCCCCCTAGGGAAGCAGGCAGGCTCGTGCCTCCCTGTACTAGGGAGATTTCTCTTAGTGCATTTCAATTGTCTACGTCAGAACGTGCTCTAACTATCCAGTTATAAAATCTTCACTGGGCTTTACAGGGAGACTTTTCTGGGGCGAAGAGGGCGGGAGAGTGGAGAGGGCTTTAAGGTGCCGGATTTTTGTTTCGTGGGGGCGGAGGTATTTTTACTCAGGTAAGAGCAATTGTTCGCTCCTCACCTACGCTTCATGTAGTTGCTGTCGGTTGGGGGCAGTGGGGAAGTGGGGGAAAAAGAGAATCCGGTCTCGGAGATGCCACCTTAATTGGCCACCCACCCACCCACCCAAATGCACTTTAGGGCAGAGAGACAGAGGCGGGAGACGGGCTTGTGATTTGAATGCAAAACAATCAAGGAGGAGGAATCTTCTCATAAAAAGAGCCCACTCCAGTTCGACTCTCACCCCCCCACCCCCCCCAAAGAAACTTCCACCGACCCCCAATACCATAAACACGCTTGGCTTTTTAAATGGCACGATCTCTCCTTCTCCCTCCCTCTCTTGCTCGCTCGCTCGCGCGCGCGCGCGCCCACACACACACACACACACACACACACACACACACACTGGGGAGAGGGGTGGGGGGAGGCACCGCTCTCTCACCTTCGGAATGATGAGGCAATGCTGCAAATTCCGCCAGTGCTAGGGCCACCCCGAGCCACACTTTGAAGGCACCCATTGCCGCTTCGACACCCACACTGGAAGAGCCCAGCCTTCAGCATCCAAGAACCAGCTCTCGCGCCAAACACTGGCGCTGGCGCCCGGGCTGGCGCGCGCCGAGAGCGGGGGGTGGCGGGCGGCGACCTCCAGGGAAATGCGGCGCTGCCCTGGCCTCAGGTGACACTCTTCAGCAGCTCGGAGGCGCCGGGCGGGTGGGGGGATTCAATTCACCCACTGCCGGGGCGGAGCGCGCGCTCAGTTCTCTAGCGAAGCCGGACGCGAACGTGGGCTGAGCTTGGAGAATGAAAGAGGAGGCAGAGCGCAGTTCTCCGTGGTAGACTCTCCAGAAAGTTCCCGTCACAGGCTGATCGGACCTCCCAGCATTTCTCCTAGACCCGACACGGCCGCCCCTGGGTCCCCGACCGTGGAGATCCCCGCGCAGGTTGGTCTGGAGCAGCTTTTTAAAGTTCGCTTGACACTCTACGTCGGCGCTGCGTCGGCAGAGGGGGGCGCCGGGAGCCCAGAAAGACCCACCCACCCCTAGGTCGCGCCGCCGGGCTCAGCGGACCTCAGCCCCCGCCGGCCGCTCGCTGGAAACTTTGTGCCGCGCTGCGGGAAGCTCCCGGGACTCCGCGGCGCTGCAGCCAGCACGGCGCCGCCTCGGGCTGCGCTCCCTGCAGTAGCCGGTTCGAAAGCTTCCTCGAAAAGAACGGGGGCGGCGGCTCGGGGGGCGCTGCTGCTACTTTCTCGCCTCCGCCCTTCTCCCGGGTGAGGAGGGCTGTGGGGGCGCGGCCTGTACACCCGGAGCTGATCTGCAGGGTGGAGGTGTGATTACGCGAGTGCAGGAGGAGCCATAATTTTAAATGCACGGTGGAAAGAGCCAGCGAGGCTGGAAAGAATCCCGAACTCAAGGCTGCCGCTCGGACTAGAGAGCCCGGATACGCACAAAATAAGGTCCCCTCTGGATCCCAGCGTTTAAAGGACACACGCTCCGCCTTCCTCCGCCTCTCTCCCCTCCTTCGTCTCTCCTTTGCTCGGTGTGAAAATGGACCCAGGGACTCGGAGCTTTGGCAGAGATTCCAGAGAGTCACGTGGGGAGGGGGAGAATCTAGGAGGGGGCAGTGAGGGGAGGCCGAGAGAGCAACCTGATCCCCTTATTCGTCCTGCTGGAGCTCAGATTGCCTTTGTCTGGGGCGGGATCAAAAGTGGTCACACTGGGGAGACGGGGGTGGAGGGGATGGGGGGCGGTGATGGTGTGGTCCTTCCTCACTGAGAACCTGCGAGCCTGGTCCTCAGCTCTCAATTCAGGAGGGATCCATCCCGGAAGGGGTTATACCCGCCATTCAAAGGCCCTGTCGCCTCCACCCCCTTACCCCGCCACTCCTGCTGGACTAAGTGCGTGAGGCGGACCTGATCCATCTCGCTCGTTCTGGGATCCCTCCGGTTGTCCCACCGTGGGTTTTACCAGCAGCCTTGGGAGGGTCTTGGCTTGTGTGTCCCGGGCGGGGCCTCCCACCGCGAATGCACCTTTACCTCCCGCAGAGAGGCTGTCAGTCTAGGCGGTCTTGGCGAGGTGGCTCCAGCTGCGCCCCCAAATGCCAGTGACTGGGAAGTAAACCTCTGGGCTAGGCAGATTGGGGAGCACACTTGAAGAGTGGAGGCCTTGGTTCTGGTCAGGACTGAGCGACGACAGCAATTTTTGTATGACCACATAAAAAGAGCTGGTCTTGGGTTAGTCGCTAAGCTGAGAATGGCCGCCTCAAGAGAGATGCTGGCTGAGATCTCACTGACCCTGAGGAAAGACGTCCTGGTTCCTTTAGTTGACCTGACACGGGTGAGCGTATTGAGCGTATTGAAGGGGACTTTGTCCAAGCAGCACACGCTGGGCTTTGAAACGGTGGGGGACCCACTTGTTTTCAGTCTTTACAACCATCCTAAAAGCGGGCGAATGTGCTAATGCTGTCAGCCGCTACTTGGAACACATATAACTTAGAGAGTTGTCACTGGCAGATAACCGAGATCTATCTATCTATTACTATTTAGCCAGAGCAAAATGGGAACCTCTAACAACCTGGCACTGATTTTTGAGTTTTTAGAGGAGCCAGGGTTTTTGCAACTCACCCTTAGTCTCTCCTGGGTTGTGAGGATCTCAGGAACAGAGAATGTTTATCACCTTTATACCTGAAATACAGAGTATTAGATGCTTATTAAACGTTTGTTGAAAGAATGGACTGAGTTAAATAGTCCCTGAAAGTAGTGGCCACATCAAGTGCAGTGGGGTGTTTTAACATCCCCTCCCCCCAAAAAGACCCCTTCCTCTTTTTTCATTTAGAAAGTTCACATTCTAGGGGTGCCTGGGTGATTCAGTCGGTTGAGCGTCTGACTTCGGCTCAGGTCATGATCTCACGGTTTGTGAGTTTGAGCCCCGAGTCAGGCTCTGTGCTGACAGCTCAGAGCCCGGAGCCTGTTTGAGATGCTGTGTCTCCCTCTCTCTCTGCTCCTTCCCTATGCACGCTCTGTCTCTCTGTCTCTCTGTCTCTCTGTCTCTCTTTCTCAAAAATAAATAAACATTAAAAAAATAAATAAAATAAAAAAGGAAAGGAGATAAAGGAAGGAGGATTGGGAGAACAGCATTTCCAAGTTACTCCCAATACATCATATGCAGTATTTCTATAGAACATCCCGCTCGCTGCCCCGCTCCAACAACAGCCTGCACAGGTGCCCACACTGGCCCACATACATTATCCTCCCTCCCTCTCCCCTCAGCCCTAATTAGGGAGAAAGCAGGTATCCCCAGAGTCTCACCCCAAGATGATCAAATAGTTGAAAGGGTCAACCCATCAGTAATATTAGACACATTTAGCCTTTTCCGTGGGCACCTAAATTGAGGTGTCAGGAACAGAATTATACTAGCATAATCTATTACATTATGCTAGAAATTTAGTAGGCATTTTTATGCATATGGAACTAATAGTAACTAGCTTATCTCTATAAGTTAACCTCTCCAAATGAGTGCTTCATTCCAACAACCAATGCTTCCCCGGGCAAGGAATTGAGAGATCACTAGCCAGAACCAGAGATACCTGGTTCTGTAGCTTCAGTGCTCTTCACTTACACGCCTAGCCTCCACAACTTCTGTTAATATGTCCCATAGTATCTCCTTGGATTGGCCCTATTGTCACCTACTGACATTTCCCTGGCCTCGGTGCTGCCCAGTCTGGGGAACTTATTTATCAATTCCTCCTGTAAATGATAGCAAAAACAATAATAGCTAACACACAGAAGAATAACAATAGCCTAACACTGTACACTTTCACATTTAACCCTATGAGACAGGTACCATTATTATTTCCATTTAGAGGAGAAATACTGATACTCAGAGGGTTAAGTAATCTGTCCAAAGTCAGATGGCTAATAAATGGCAAAGAGTATTAGAGCAAGCAGTGCCAGCTGCAAACGCAGGCAACCCCCCAAACTGTAGTGTCTTCAGACAACAAAAGTTTATTTCTCAATCACATCCTGGCCCTGGGCATAGGTGACTTCTTGTTGCTAGGGCATGGTGGAACACATGGCATGCAGCTTCCACATATGGGTAAGAAAGTGATAAAGGGGGTATTGCAATACCCCTAAGGGCCTTATCCCTTCCTCTTAGAGTCCAGTGGCAAGAATGAGTTATATGGCCCCAACCTAACTGCAAAAATGGCCAGGCCCATAGGGGGAAACATGGATACTTAGTGAGCACTAACTGTACTGATCTACTCCAGAGGCCCTGCTCTTAACTATCTTAACTATCCTTAGCTACACTATCTTGCCTCTTAGCAAAGCCTCCCTTGAACCTCCCCTGCTGACACTAGTGCTTTCTTGACCTTTGTTGCAACTGTTCTATTGTTTCTCCAACTTATCTTTACTTTCCTATTGGTCCACTTTATTCTCCTTTCCTTTTCTCCCTTCTGCCCCAGTTCCTCTGCTTGTCACTGTCTTCTTTCTGCACAACCCCACCCTTGAGTTGAGTCTTCTATCACATCTTTCTTCTTGTACCTGCCCTGGGCGTGATCCTGCAGTGTTACTGCTTTTGTTCTGGTTTGTCAGTTTCAACATGTGACAATATTTGTTGCCTTTGTTTTCCTGCTTCAAATAGTTATACCAAAAAGAATAAATGAATAATAGAAGTAAATACTGATGGGCTCTGCTGTAATCTAACCCATCCATAAGAATAAGAACAGTAAACACATTCAAACATTTTTCTCTGCTTAACTGAACATAATTCTTTCTACAAAAATAGAGTCATAATTTACGTGCTATTTTGTAACCTGCCTTTTTTTTTCCTCCCACTGAACAGTATAGCTAGACCACAACATTCTAAGCCAAATCATATTGATCTATCCCATTCTTTTTTAGAGCTGCTTGGGTTTGTATGGTATGGATAGGTCTTTATATATTAAGCAAATCCTCTGATAAGAACATTTACATTGTTCCCGGTTTTTTGCTGTTATAAATAATGCAGCCCCAAACATCCTTATAAAAGTCCTTTGTGCGCTTACCCAATTATTTCCCTGGGGTAAATTTTGGAGGCCAAAGTGCTGGATCAAAGGGATGCATACTTTTCATTTTGATACCTGTCATTTAATCTTTGTTAATCTCAAAAGGTGAAATGGCATTTGGTTTAATACAATTTATTAACTATGTCACCTCAGGCATATTACCCTCCCTGAACCTCAGATTCCCTGCCTAAGAAATGGGCATTGTAATAAAAGTCCATTCCATGGAAAGTCCTAACAGGACCTCTGTTTGCATTAAATAAAATAAAAATGCTTAGCACCATATCTGACACGTTGGCCACCTAACAGATGTTAGCCAAGTGAAATACATGTACTTTTTAAATCTGCATCTCTTTGTTTATTAGTAAAGTAAAACAACTTTTCTTTTTTTATTGTATTTCTTTGTGTGTGTCTGAATGGTCTCTTTATATTTCTGCTAATAGGATTTTTGATTCTATATAGAATTATAAGAGTTCTTTAT